GGGAGCTTTTGGAAGAACCCCTTCTCCTTTTAGTTGAAATTAAAGAATTTGCTGGAGGAATTGCCCATCTTTTCCGGGCAGGGAACACCCCAGGTAGAGCTGGATGTTGTTTATCCCACCGCCAGTACCCAGTAACCTAATCAAATGACTAAAAAGGGGTGGATACATATCTTTGATCATTCTCTGGTTAAATACTTAACCTGAATCTGTACAGGAATCTGCCAAGATCCATCCCTGACATTCTGACATCCCTAAGACAGTGGAGAGGGCTTGAGGAAATGAATGCAAATTTGTAATTATACTTCAGCAGCCATCTCAAAACACTTCGGTATCTTTTTGGTTTGATGGTTATCGGAGCCTTTTTCATTTCCTGCTAAACATTTCTTCAAATATTTGTATCCGCTTATATGTCTGTGTAACTCCTTGCTCCTTGTCAGTATCCCTGTTTGAATGACGGCCTTGATGGAGAGTAGTTTACACACACTGATAAAATGAGCCAATATTTACCTAAGCAGGAACTTAACCTCACTGCAGAGTCCAAAAAGATGTGATCCGTGAAGAAAACGACTTCCGCTTGATATTTAATAGCCTTCATTGAACAGTCCCACATTGTCATATTAAATTGTGACCGTTGTAGTTACACCACATGTCTTTACTTTGTCAGGCTTTTCTTTACAATAGGACATCCTTGAGCTTTGGATGAGCAAGTGTTTATTTTCATTTGATACAACTTTCCTATATCAATGAACTGTAATACGACTGAGAGAAGTGCCAAATGGACCTTCACCCCCTGTGGAGCAGCTGTACTGCAGCAATGATGGGTTTTGCATTCCAGTCATGCTTCTCTGCAAACAGCAAGTAAACGAAGGCGTAACCCTGCATGCTCCCATGGAGAGGGCCAGCGATGAAAATGCATGTAATCATTGAAGGCAAGGGACAATTGCCCTGGGCTTTACCTTGGATCAGTGCTCAGAAATGGGGAAAAGGAATCTGGACATGAGGGAGGCAGCCAAATGCATCGGCATCATTGCAAGTACACAGCTGCTTGTTAAAACAATGTTCCTTGAATATCTAGAGGAAGCAACATCAACAGAGGTTTAGACCTGTTGCATTGTCCGAATTTGACAAGCAGATGTCATTTGAAAAAAAAATGCATCGATTGTTTCCTACTTTATAGTTTTGGGGGTTTAGATCTGGCCCTCCAGGAGTCCACTACAAAAGACAGTGAGGACAGAAGTTGTGGAGAAAGGATGAGGTTAGCCCTGTCTGCTTCCCAGAGGGCAGAAGCAATTTTAAGCTCTAGTGAGCCAGCTCCCCCAATGCCAAAGTCTGAACACAGAACAATACTCAAGTTCATTTATGCACGTCCTCCCATGGCAGCAACTGACTTTTCTCACTTTTTTCTAATACACTAAACAAAAAGGGCACAATTAGGATTGTGGAATCCTCTCAAACACTTTCAATTCAGTTAGGACGTTTAAGGACAGTGAATATATCTTCTTAAATGTAGTATACATAGATACATTAATCTACTAGGAAGTGCAAAAGTCTTAATATTCATCACCCTTTGGATAATAATAGAAGTGTCACTCATGTTGTGATTGTGCTCTGTCAGATGCAGTAGCGCTGACTGCAGTAGTACAGAGACTAGCAGGTAGGCTCTGTGATTGATAGCTATGCTAAGAGTGCCACTGCTGCTCTCCCCAGGCGATGGCAACTGCACTCATTCTCAGCGGGCTGGCATGCCAGCATTTTTACCAACAGCACTGAAGCAAAGACGTCCTCCTCCTGCGCAGTACAACTTCCCTACAATTGGGGTCACAAATAAAGAATTGTACAAACTGAAACTGTAAAACTAAGTCCTTTTGGATCAAATGAAGCAAAGCTGTGGCTTTCTTTTTAAAGCCAAGTGTGTTTTCACAGTAGCTTGATGCTACCATGGCTCACGATATGTGGATGGAAGCTTTAAAACAAAGACCAGACTCCCCTGGCTGTTCAAATTGAGCTGAAAAGGATTTGTGCATCTTTAGTTGACTCTAGCCGGAGCACAGCTTTCGCTGTGTTGTGGCAGAGATGTCAGGTGTGGGATCAGGCTTATTGCAGCTGGAGGTGGACAAAGAGCAGCAAAGGGAGTTAACTGCGTCCAATGTGCTTTGACCATCAATACTGATCCACTTAACTTTTCTAATCTCAAGCGAGCCACAAGTGTGTCCCATTTGTATTGTTGGTGTTTTTGAATATAAACCGGTGGACTTAAACATGTTATGGGGATTAGTCCAGCTTAGCTCCATGCCTAATGCAATGATTAGGGATGTTCTGGTACAGCAGATAAGTGAATGTTCACTAGTTACTCAGCAACTGCGCTAAACTGTTAAAGACCTTAAGCCGAAATGGCAAAGTCTTGGACACGACTGCTCTCCAGCTGCAGTAGTGTGTCACCCATAACACTTTAGAGTCTATTCACTTTGAATGCACTATACGTCATACATTAGTTAAACACTAGTCATCAACCATCTGATGACATAATTGATTGTCCTCATCAAGTTCTAATATATTACATACAGCATGTCGAGTAAGGTCTTCACACCTAACAGCAAAAAGTACAAAGCTATTGCAAAAGAGCTGTAGCATAAAATATATGACTGTATCTACACTGGTTTTGTTCTTTGGTTAATGACTCAGCTTTTTCGTAGTATGTCTACATTCTTCAGATGTAGCATTAATCTCCCAACTGAACAGACAATTCGATTCCCTTTTACATGATTAAACTCCAGATGTTGTCTGAACATTGATGAATGTTTGTGGCTCACCTCATCGTTTTTAGTCAAATTTGTATTCAGTTCTTGGACAGCATATTGATTTTTCTCAGCTGAATCGTATTTTCAAAAGGCTTTTCATTTACAGGCTGCATAACCACATGCGGATCAAGTTTGATTAGTTTACAAAAGAAGGAGCTTGTGGAAAAAGTTGAAGCAGTTCCCGAGCCTGATGATATTTATGTCAAACTGAGAAGTGATATGCCATCGAGTGTGCCATAAAATCTGACCTACAGCGCCTGGAACTGCTCTAAGAGTTGTGGCCCAGCTCGGGACACAGAGAAGGCAAACCACATTACTCCTAATACCAAAGGCGTGTGAACACAAGACTGAGCAGTGTATACATCAAAGCAAGGTCTACAACACAGGCACATGTTTAAGGTTAAGGGCAAGAACTAGTGGGTCACTTGGGCATCAAATGAATGTTATAGTGCTGTATGAAGAGAATTTTAAAGTGCGAGTTGGAAATGGACCTTTGATGATAAAATGTCAGCTCTAATTGTGTCAATAATTCCTTTTAAAGTTTTCATTGAACTAATTTTCATTTGGATTCTGTGTGTGAATGGGGTTTGATTACACTTTTCCCTATCTTTTTATGAATGTACGGGCAAACATTGCACAGTCTAAAAATATGTATTCTTGGTCATTCGAAGATTGATCTTAAAACGCCCAACAACTTCAAATATAGGGGTTTTGAAGCACATTCAGCAGAAATGAAAAGACAGCAATTCAAGCCAAAGGCTAGTCATTAGGCATTATGTAGTCAAAAATGTATCCAACAAAGTGGATAGGCGAACAAAAGCCTAGAAAAAAAGAACAGCTTTGAGCACTTTGCAGGAAAAAATAAATGGGCAAATGTATTTTGTATTCATCGCATGGATTTTTACACTGGAACATATGTTGCCAGTGCCTGTTTGTGTTTTGTTATCCTTGGTTTTGCAGATTTAACTTGGTCCAAACAGGACTACATGAAATACTTTAATAAAGAATTATACATAACATAAACTCAGTTGTCCAGTAAAGGAACAATCTCGTTCTTCCACTCATTAGTTTGAAATAAATTGCGTTTGATTGCCTCATTTCCATGCATCTTATCTTTCATCAGCCATTCATGTGTATTTCAATCGTGCAGTCCCAATTTTAGAGTTTTTTCTCTCTCAATAATGAAGCAGGTGTCTAATGGGGAGATGTTATTTATGCAATAATTATGAAAAATATCTGTGCCAGATATCTTAGCAGCTAATTACCAATGTAATTGGCATACAGACAAATTGGTACTGTTATTTGATGAATTTCTTTTAGAAGAGCCTAAAGCTGATGTAAGAAAAGGTCACACTGCTCATTCGGATGTTATAGCGGGATATATAGTTATATTTTATAATCTACCTCTGGATCATCATTAATCTACTCTCACACCATTACACGTTTAACAATGGCATTGTTTTTTTGTAGCAAAGTGATTTTATTTTTCTGAATGTGACTGAAACTAATAATAACATATTAAATAATAGTAACTCCATGTTAAATAATAAAATACTGCTGAAGTCCCACAGTAATGTTTTCCTAGTGTTTTCTGGATATTTTGAACATATATGTTCCATGCCAAGTTGAAGGAAAGGCATGTGATTTCCTTTGAGTTAAACAACTGTACCTTAAAGGTGGGGTAGGTAAGTTTGAGAAACCGGCTCGAGATACACTTTTTGTTATATTCCATGGAATGCTCTTAACATCCCGATAGCAATGAATATCTTAAGTGCTTTGACAAAAAATCCATTAAAAAATGTCATCTGTGGAAGCCGTAGTACTGTAAAAAGTACGACCAATCATTTTAGCCGGCCCGGCTAAAATAATTGGATGGCCTACCTGCCTGTCAGCCTTCCATCTGTGCACAAACTTATCTCTTGCCCTCATTGGTCATGTGCGCGTTCGTGTGTGTTGGAGGAGGGGCTCTGTGAGGAAGTAGCAGATTTTTTCCGGTTGTGTATTTTCAAATTCTAGCGCCCTCGAGCTGGTTTCTCCAAAATTACCTACCCCACCTTTAATAGCATAATTGAACTGTGATTAAGCTATGAACCTATTATTTATGCCATTAAAAAGTCTTCAGATGACTCAAAAGTTAAACTGACACAGTCATCTTTCGTGCCTCATAACAAATCTTCTCTTCTCTTTTGTTCTTTCTCTTAGATTCCATCTGAGTAGGAGGTGGCAACAAAAGACCAAATGCCATGGATGTATTTAATTTCACTTACTGGAATGCCTCCAAAGGCAATGGCACAGAAGTTGTGGAAGAGAGCGAAAGCGCCTACAAGACTGTGGAGGTGGTGTTCATCGTGCTGGTGGCCGGTTCTCTCAGTTTGGTTACAGTTATTGGAAATATCCTGGTCATGCTTTCCATCAAAGTTAATAGGAACTTACAGACGGTCAACAACTACTTTTTATTCAGCCTCGCATGTGCTGACCTGATTATTGGACTGTGCTCTATGAACTTGTACACAGTCTACATCGTAATGGGCTACTGGCCCCTGGGCCCGGTGGTGTGCGACTTGTGGTTGGCCTTGGACTATGTTGTCAGCAATGCGTCTGTCATGAATCTTCTCATCATAAGCTTTGACAGATATTTCTGTGTCACCAAGCCCCTTAGCTACCCCGTCAAGAGGACCACCAAGATGGCGGGAATGATGATTGCAGGAGCCTGGGTCCTGTCTTTCATCCTGTGGGCACCAGCTATTCTCTTCTGGCAGTTCATTGTCGGTGGGCGGACAGTGCCTGAGAGGGAGTGCTACATACAGTTCTTCTCCAATGCTGCAGTCACTTTTGGCACCGCCATTGCCGCCTTTTACCTGCCTGTCATCATCATGATTCAGCTCTACTGGCAGATCTCCAGAGCAAGCAAGAGCCGCGTGAAGAAGGATGTCCGCAAGCCCTCAGCAGCCAAACCAGAGCCCCTGTCGCCTACTCAGAGGAATAACACTCCAAAACCCAACAATAACAACGTACAGGGGGAGGACACAGGTGGCTGCCAGAGCCAGAGTGCCAAGGATGAAGCTAACCATCACGATGGAAAACTGCAAAATGGCAAGGGACCTTCCTCGACAAATGCTGAGGGAGAAACCGAAGGTGACGATGTGGCGAGGGAGAACTGCGCTCCTGGAGAAGAGAAGGAAAGCTCCAATGAATCAACATCTGGCAGTGTGGCTGCATCCAATCAGAAGGATGAAGAGGCGGGACCCTCCGCCGCTAACTCCAGTGCTGAAACGAGCCAGCCCCTCCCCCGCCAGCGAGCCAAGGCAGGGGGCTCCAAGCTGACCTGTATCAAGATCAAGAGTAAATCGCCCAAGGGTGACTGCTACACCCCAACAAACGCCACCGTTGAGATCGTCCCGGCCTCAGAGCGGCAGAATCACGTGGCGCGGAAGATCGTGAAGATGACAAAGCAACCTCCCAAGAAGAAGAAAGGACCGCCATCACGGGAGAAAAAAGTGACCCGCACCATAATGGCCATCCTGGTAGCTTTTGTTGCAACCTGGACTCCTTACAATGTGATGGTGCTTATAAACACCTTCTGCTCAAGCTGCATCCCCAACACAATGTGGACTATCGGCTACTGGCTGTGCTACATCAACAGCACCATCAACCCAGCCTGCTACGCTCTGTGCAATGTCACGTTCAAAAAGACATTCAAGCATCTTCTCCTCTGCCAATATAAAAATAGTAGGTCAGCCAGATAAATATGGGCCACTTAGGAGGAAGAGTTGAAGTATGAGTTGTCCGTTTGTGTGTGCCATCTGTGTGTTTGTGTTTGTGTGTGTGAGTGTGTGTGTTTGAGTTCTGTGAGCATGATAAAGCCTGCATGAGTCCATTCGACATTAGTTCCCTTCATTTTATCCTTTTGTTTTCCAATTTCCCTCTAAAAAATTGGTTGTAGCACTTCACACAAATTTAACTGATTCCAGTTGTGTCGAGATGTGTCGTGCAGAAGCAGAACAGATTAGGAAGGTTGCGCAAAATTAAGTTTTACTCAAGTGTTGTAAGCTAAAAAAATCAGGCTGTGTAAAGCACGGAGCACTTGGGAGTGACACTGAGCTGATAAAAAATGAGGAACGATAAAGAGCAGAGGAAGATCTGCACTGTACGAAAACACACAACTTCAAATGGGAAAATAGGGCTGACTATCTTTTCAAACCTAAGAAGTTTGACGTTCAGTAGAGATACATGTAGATAACTGTACATATCAGTGTAGACTCAATATTTATGTCACATGTGGATGTGTGCTGACTCTGAGTATGTGTGTACACTCATGTTTGCCCCTCTTCTTACTGTCTGTCTGTGATCTTTATCATGGCACTTCCAACCAGCCACATGTAGAGTAAAGTGGGGCAGCTTGCGTAGATTGCCTCTTTAGTGGTTACATTAGGGCTGGAAGATATTCCATCTGCTTATGAGCCCCTGTGGGTCGCCATCAATACAAAATAGATATATAAATATATTAAGCCTGCACTTCAGGCAAATTACATTAAAACAAAAAAATATTTACTCACTTGCCTTAACTGGTGGTGTTTAGCCATCACGCTGTGTTTGGGTTGATTTTATTTGGTGTCTCAAAATGTCTGCCTCCCCCTTCATGCTTGAATGCTATATTTTTTGTAGTCACAACATAAAAACACATTTAAGACACAGTCCATACTGATTATACTTCTTCATTAGAACTATTTTCTAATGAAGAAGTAATCGCTCCCACTTAACTCACTTCAAAAAGTTAACAATATCTGAAAAACTTATGTTATTCTTTACAAGAGTTTAAAATACAAACTTGTTTATCCAATACATCACTACTTCTACTAGCTTGAATCTTACTAACAAACAAACCCCCACTTTGATGAAAAGTTTGGTGCCACTCAGGTCATATAGTTATGAAGCTAGGCTAAAGTTAGCCTAGCTTAGCTTAGCATAGATTCAGGGAGCCGGGGGAAATGGCTAGCCTGGCTCCATTTATCAACACCTCTAAAGCTGAACGATAAACAGATTATATCTTGTTTGTTTTTGTGCAAAATGCAAGTTGTATATCTGTGGGAATATTTATTTTTTGGCAGGGAGCAAACATTCTTGTTGTCTTGTCAACACTCTGAGGAAATCACTACACCCGGCCAATAAATAATCCCACACATAAAACAACAACTTGACGTTTTGGATTACAAGCTGCCATTAATCATCATAAAGTAGTACCAAATAGCTGTTAGAACAACAGACAACAATAGTTATGACTAAATAGAAAATGGTGGCATGAGATTGTTCAGTCGCACTCTTTCATCGTTCAGTCGCACTCTTTCCTTTGCGTCATATCAGTTTTTACTATTGTTGACAGGATTGAATTTCAGTGGTTATTAGGATGTTTGCTGTTGCTTCTAGTAACCATCCCTCTGTGAGTGAAACAGGTGGCTGGAGCTCAGAGCTGAGGCGTATTACTGTCTGTGGGAAGGCATTGTGTGGTGTGTGTTTGTTTTTTGGCGTGTGTGGATGAGTGGGAGACATCATATGATTCTGCTGATTAGTAGATTGATGTCACAGCGTGTACTGTACTCACTATACTGATGATGATTGTGAAGTGTGTGTGTGATCTTGTGTGAAGCGAGTGTGGGTATACCTGCTGATGTGTGTTTGCTCCAAGAGTGGAGTTTACTTCTGATCACGGGTTAAAACCTTGTGATTTAAATAAGGGCTATTTCTGCGTCTTTAATGTACACATTCGTAATCCATCGTCTTATTTTGAAAATTAACAAGCGGGTTAATTAATTCTATGTAAATCATTTTATTCTTAGATTGAAAATAATAAATAGCTGTGTCTTATTTTAATTGAAAAAAGAAATTAGAAAAATATCAATTTACTGTAAGACATGTTCAGTGTATCCATGCATGTCATCCATCATTTCAACATATTAGCCAATTCTCTGTTACGGTAATGTATGCTCACCAGTTGGAGTGATGAATATTCAGGAGCATTTGCCATCAGGAGGTTGCCACAGCGGCTGGTAGGGGGGCTTTGCAGAGAATTACTCCTGCACGGAATATCTCCTCAAGGCTGTCTCCTTATACAGAGATCTGGGACAGATCCTATAATGAAAACTCACCATGAGGCTGATCAGATTATAGGACGATGTGGAACACCTACATTTGAGATTAAAGATTGCCCATTACACGCTCAGCTTGTGCTTGCATGCTATGCGCCTATGCCCCACTTAGTGCTCCACTCGGTCCTGATCCTGGTATAGTCTCTACCTCATATATGAGGTCATGAATGTAATGTAAATACCACATTTATTCATTAGCTTGCTCTATTATTAATTCCCTAACTCCTGCACTCATTAAAGCCTTCGTTCCTGCTATGTCAAAGCTCCTAAGTGCAGAGTCAGTACTTGCATTCAAGTGTTGTAGTCACAGAAATACATTCAATGTTTGCATAAAGCTTGCACACTGACATTTACATTTATTTGCTGGCAAATAGCAAATGCTTTGTTAAATTACCAGCCATTCATAAACTCTGTATGCATCCCCAAAATGTTGCATTACATCAGTGGTGGAAGAATTATCCTTTACTCAAATCAAATCAAAAATAAATACATGTAAAAATAATGTTTAACAAATTATAGTCATGCATTTAAAATTGTACTTAAGGTGAGACGACTTCTTTGACAATTTACAAATCGCAGTTTTTTCCTTTAATACAATTGAAGCCATTTATTGTCAAAATGATTCTTAATATGGTCAGGATAGTTCTAATGATCCTACAGTACATGTGACATAGGAAGGGGAGCCAAATAAGAATAAATGTTTTAATCCAATGTTTCTGACCTGGCCAGCACACAAAAACTGACCATGTCGTCTTATTTCAAAGTTTGTGGGTTTGGTTGGCACTCCAGATGCCTAAATACGGGGATTTCCTCGATATGTCCCATTTGATATACATAATTCTGAATGGGCCTTTAGAGTAATTTAACTTTTTTCCCACTAGAAGTACCTATAATATTTTGGTATTTGAGTAAATGCACATTCCACCTCTCCTGCTCTTCATAGATGGTCCATGTTTATCTGTCGAGACAGTTTCCGCATGAAGTGAGGCATCCATCCCAGCTCGACATCCAACCATCCGTCACGTTGATAAGTGGAACCATGTCTGTCTGACATCCGTCACACGTCTCAGTAGTGGGTAGAGAGCCTTCCAGAATATCTGATTAATCTTTGCTAAGCTGTCGTTTGAGTGATACCAGCAGGAGAGTAAGTGGCTCACAGCTCAAGCGGTGGTCCAGGGGTCCCAGTTTGAGCAGCTGCTTGAGTGTTTGATGGAAGGTGATGGCAGTTTATCACCTCCTGGAGCGGGAGAGATGCACCTAAAAACAAACAAAAGTGCTTTCCGTGCTTATCTCCACAGCATGCACTTTAAACGTCAGGAGTAAAGTTCTCAAAAACCCCTTCGCTCCCCCCCTGTTCCTGTTGCCAATATGGTGGACGGATGAGAACAAAAAGACGTTGTTGTATCAGGCGTTGTTGGGGGGGGGGGGATGATGTGAGAGAATGTGGGCTTATGATAGAACGAGAAAGCGTTGTTTGTCGACAGCGAAAGAGAGCGGCTGTCATGCGTGTGAGGGAGATAGCCCCCAAGGTGTACAGTTTGTACGTTTAGAGACAGATAAGCTTGCCTTTGTAGTCATGGCTACGAGAAGGGGAGGAGGGGGAGAGACGGGGGCTTGTTAGTGACAAAATCCAAAGCTAGAGATTCAGCCTGCACCATGTTTGGAGAAGTCACAGCAGTTCTGTGCAGGTCAGCCAAGGGTTTTGATGCAGGAATTCGAGTGTCCCAGACGAAACCTGCCGCCTGGTGTAAACACAGCGAGATACGGCGCTGTTTACCGTCCCTGCCGCGCTTTTATTGCGTCTCATCCTCATATTGTGCAAACAGAATCCACCGTCTGTGCTTATTATATTATAACCTTCTTACTTTACGAGCTCTAATGCATATATGCTCACCTACGGACCATATATTCTGATGTTCATCTGTCTAATATGACTAGAATAAACATTGTCTCCATTGTAATCAACAGACCATCATGTGCCGTCAGAGCTAGCTGGGCTCCTCTTCACACGGCTAATGTCAAAGGGCTAGGCTCCTTTTACGGAGTACGTATGACATTTATCAGAGACAACTTCAAATTTAGGTTTTCTCTGGGCTTCTCTCTCTCTGGGCTGTTGCTGAGAATAATTTCGGCAATCTTGTGCAGCCATGCAGAATTGAAAACACAGCAGCTTGTGCATGCTGGGAGAATTCTAATCGGAAAGTATATTTATATCGCCAGATTGTACGGAGCAATTGAAAGTGCCTTATCCAGAGAAACATAAAGAAATTGCTCTTTTATCCCTCAACCCCTGTTGTATCTTACAGTAAGTGTGTCTGTGTGTGTGGACGGGGCTGCAGTGTGATGCCCATTAGAGAAAGTGTTCAGCCTTTTAAAATTAAGATTTGATGTTTCTCAGCTCTGAGCTCCCAACACTACCCATTGTAACAGCCACTGTGATTGCAGAGTGGACTGAACCATCTAAAATCATCCTCTCAATCCTTTTTAAATCATTTCTCAAAACATGTGACATCATTGACACATTTCAATACTATCTAAGAGGCACAGCGGGCTATTTTGTTTGGTTTTTTCATCCAGTGTGTGTGTGTGTGTGTGTGTGTGTGTGTGTGTGTGTGTGTGTGTGTGTGTGTGTGTGTGTGTGTGTGTGTGTGTGTGTGTGTGTGTGTGTGTGTGTGTGTGTGTGTGTGTGTGTGTGTGTGTGTGTGTGTGTGTGTGTGTGTGTGTGTGTGTGTGTGTGTGTGTGTGTGTGTGTGTGTGTGTGTGTGTGTGTGTGTGTGTGCATTGACATCCATCATGTGGGAAATGGTGCTTTCCCGTGTGTGTCTGCCTTTATACTGAGAACAGTGCTGTCATTGGTCAGCGTGGGTGTGTGCATGCAGCTTGATGTGCGGTGTTTTATTTGTTCTCAATGGCATCCTCAGCATGAAGACATCAGATTTGGACAAAATATCATGGCACACATCAGGGAAGATGCACACAGTGTAATTGTCTATCCCTCTGTCATCACTCCTTTCTCTTTAAAATTTTTCGTTCAATAGCAACAGGTTGCAAGACTCACTTAGACGCAGTTTTGTGTGGTATTGGAATACATATAAATACTTATATTGTACATTTTCTATCACATTTAGTAAACCTGTTTCTTTTATCACTGTAAAAAGTACAAGTGTAATATTCCAAATTAAAATAAGATCAGTGTACAGCAAGAGAGTTTAGTTTTTTTCATTTGAAATTGAAAATGCTATTTAAAATCTTTAAATATATGAATATTATGGAAAGTATTTAAAGAGAATATTGTTATAAGAGGAGAAGGTATACATATATGTGTATTTCTGGGGGCATGATTTGCTAAGGATGAATTATTGCTTTGCAAACTGAGCGACTGGATCCAAACTGCGGGGATTTCAAGAATGACTTTTGCTGCCAGATGGGCGAAAATAGAGCAAATTGGAAATCCGAAGATGGACGAAGGCTAAAATTAGCTTCCAGTGACCTAAAGGCCAAGAGGCAAGTGGCTTCATTTTGATTTGGCCTGTTAGAGACACACACCTTGGAAAGAATTTGGTCATCTTCTATCTTACCGGACACACTTTCTAACTTTTAGCAACTTTACCATCCTGGGGAAAAGGTTGTTTTTTTGTGTAGAGCAACATAAGTGTTGAGCTTTTTGACCTGATCTGAAATTCAATGGTCAAGATTAACATGTGGATTTAAAACAAAATTAGCAACAAAAAAAAGAGTAAATAAAAAAAAAAAAATGAATAGCCTGCTGCAAATGTCAAGTGTACATACAAGTGTTCATTTTTCATTTGCCTATGTACGTAGATGTTCATGTATATTCACTCACTGTGGCTTGTGGCTTCTCTTGCAATAGGTAAACATATTTTACAGTCTATTGTTTGCATTGTATATATCTATATGATAATAAAGTATATGTAATTCGGATGTGGTACATTTGAAATGTACATACACGTCTTTAATAGCTTATATCTGAATGTTTCCCTCATTTATGCTTCTCCCCCTCCCCCACTATGATACTTCCTGTACAGTAACAATGGTATTCATTTCCTTTTTTGATGCATTCTTAATTGATTATATGTTCTGGACAATGAATCTGGGTGTTATTATGATTGGCCACCTACGACACTGTAACGCAGCGTCCACACTGCGGCGTGCGTTGAAGCTTGCCGGCGGGCGTGTCTGAAGCTCGACCAACAACCAATCACATGAATCTCCTGCCCCGGACACACAAGCACGCGGTTTGATTGGCTAGAGCTTGTACTGACATATGATTTGATTGGCTGACGCTTCTGTCGAAGCTTCAAAAGTTGAACATTGCTCAACTTTTGAAGCGAGCAACGCGAGCGAAGCGACGCTCCCACAATGCAGTTCGGCAAAGCGTGACGTCACCCCATTCAAAGTGAATGGGCAGAAGTGTTGAAGCTTCAACGCACGCCGCCGTGTGGACGGGCCGTAAGATGAACTGCATTACGTGGTTACATTGTGCCATATTCTCTCAGAATGGAATTCAAATAAAGATAATATAAAATGTGTTTTTAATATCTGAGTTATTGAATGTGAGGATGCACCGGGTGAAAGAGAGGAAAAAAACGTTCTAGCTATTTATTTTTCATTCATTTTTATTTTGGAAAGAGGATACAAAGGGAATGTTAACTCCAACCGAGGAAGTTTTATAGCCAAAAGCTGGAGGGTAAAAATCAGTGGGTATAAATTGAGGTACAACAGAGCAGCAGGAGGAAAAACACTAAAAACAGTAGTAGTTTGCACACTTGTAGAGAAGCTTTTTCATGCAGACTCCAAACAAAACTAGCTTATGTTTATTCTAACTTGAAATGGAAGAAAAATATCAATAGCATAGAGTAATGGGGAAGGCGTTACCAAATGCACATCTTTTTTTTCTCCACAAATTAATTAAGTATAGATGTTTAGAGCTTCACTTTTAGCAAACTGCTTCATTAAGTCAAGGCATGGATCAAAGAGTTTTCCAAATTAGAGTTAGGCTATTCAACTGTATAACAAATCCTATTTATTCGTAAGAAAATAATCCTAGAAACAACATCATTAGGTAAAACACTAGTAAACAAATCTCTTTTCGTATTCATTATGCGTCCCTACCGCTGAGTATTACATCTCCTATCGCAACATACAAGTTGTTTTTGTTTTTTATCAGGTGCTAGGAAGAAGAAAAGGTTAAACATTTTGTCACTAAAAGACATATTTCAACTGGTTTTGTCAAAGCTCTAAAGGCTCCTACTGCCAATCTACAGGACATACAAAGAGGAACCGTGGTGAATTAGGGCAGTGGACGTGCTTCCCCGCTCTTCTTCCTTCCTCACAGGGAAAAACATCCTCATTGGTCCATTTGGGTGCGATCTCGCTTCTTGCCGTCCTTCTTTTGCTTCTTTGCATCTGCAAAAACAGAAAAGAAAAGGAGTTGCAGCACACAGTGTTTACTTTGACAGTTTCCCTGCCAGAGGTGGTGTTTTTGCACGTAAACAAATCCCATTGTCTCCATGAAGAGCACATATGCTACGCTTCAGATTTAAATAATCAACCGTATTAGTTTTAATTAGTTTTTGTGCATGCATTCCCAGCCTGCTCTTGGGAATTGATTTGTGGTCTGGTGTACGCCCCATGAAAAAACGCTTTATCAACTTCCCGCAACAGTGACTCTGTACCTGGCAGCCAGGACAGAAGCCACAGTCCATGGCTTCCCTTTCTGCTTTGCGGCCTCTCCGCTCTGCTGAACAGGAAGAGAGCACAACCTGCAGCCGTTTGGCTACCTAGCTCCTGGCTAACTGTTTTGGTTGACTGTCAATCTTCCTGGCTGTTTGTGTATCTGCCTCATACCTTAATTTGCATTTCGTAAATGCTCAGTAGGTAACGTTTGGCTGAATTTGGGGTCAATTTCATATGGGGACACTCCATTGAATATGATTTGCATATTTATTCACATTTGTGTTATAGGAAGGTAGGTAATGTATGTGATGCTTGTATGCAGTTTTTGTTGAGACAAGCTAGTTGTTTCCCACTCTGCTAAAAGTAGCTTCATATTTAGGGTACAGACAGACTGGTGGTCTCAATCTGCTTGCATTCTTCTTGGCAAAAAGCAGAAATTTCCCAAAATGTGGAACTTTTGTGGACAGAAAATAGAACATAAAAATGAGCGGCCATCAAAAACGTCAATCTGTCACACCATTATGGTTTACTAGGGTTAGGGTTAGCCTTAATGATATTTGTAACACCTGCACTTTTCAAGTCGAAAGGGCCAATGTCCTTTTTGGAAAAATTGTGAATAAAAGTGTGCGTGCAACTTTTGTCCATCTAAGTACATATTTTCTAAAAGATATTGTCATAACTTTGCAGTTCTTAAATGCTTGCCCCATCTTATATCTTACTTCAAGTAGTGTTTTATTGCTAGCTCTTCCTTGAAAGTTTGGTTTATTTAAAAAGAGAAACAGTATAAGAAAAGATCAAATAAATTGTGATTATTATTTGTTTATGCAATGGATTATCTGAAAAGAATCTCAAATCCTCTAATGACATGCCGGCAAGTAGCTATGAAAAGTGACAAGGTATGCTAAGTCAATTAGATTTCAGTTGAGTTTCAGCCGTTCAACATTCAGAATGTTCACTATGAGAAATCTCTTCCTGCAAACTTCCGTAGGCAAAAACATTTTGACGTGCAAAGCGCTCTAGCCCATGTAAATACGGAAATTGCTCTTCCATTCCAGTTTGCTTGTTTCTAATTTGTTTGAATATTTTCTCTCTTTCATTTTTCTTCTCTTCGCCCTGTTGTTTTTGTCAGCATATTCTGCTCCCCTGGGAGAGAGATGGTGGAAAGGATTCACTCCCTCTCTTTCTCTGTCTCATCTTTCTCCATATGTGAAATGAGGATTTTGTATCCAGGCTGGAGCACTTTCTGCTGCATTTGCTCATTACATGACACTGCTTGCTCTCCTCTCTGCCTCTGACACACACTCATAATCACGCTGGGCTGCCTTCTCCGGCTCTAAACTGCCCTGAGACGAAAAACAAACCAACATTTTTGGCCAAGACGAGAGCAGAATCTGACTTTTTGGCATTTGTTAAGTGTTGGAATGTAGCCATCCAAGTACATCTGCTTAAGTTCTGGGGTATATTTACAATTCCCTGCATTTACAGAACTATACTTCTACCTCAACAACATTTCATAGGGAAGAAATATCCTACACTGAACTTATTTCACATGTATAGTAACTTCCAGATGTAAATAAAGTATAACAAATTAGCATCTCGACTGGCTGTAACATCAAAATACTGCATGCAACATGGATGCATTAATAACCGAAATATATCCGAAAGCAATCAACAATACAAGAGGATACTTTTTACACAATTTTAATAATTTTACCATGTTAAAAATATGGCATAGAAACGTGTCATATTCCAGGTTCCTAGAAGTGATGATTGCTAAATATCCTGTCATTTGTCAGCTGTCACCTGTCTAACAAATGAATTAACATTACAAAATAAATTAAATGTGAAAAGTGAAATGTAGCTTTCAAAGGCTGACAGACACAGCTAATGCAAAAGTATTTTAACTTTAGATTGATGTATTATACTAATTAACTAATTCAAATGAACAAGAAAGTTGTGCAGAGTGAGGTATCTGTCTTTGGACACTTTCCACTTTTGTAGGACAGAAACAAGGAGTGGGTGTAACAACAGTAGTTGGTGTAGCTCTGAATGATGTCTTTATTTAAAATGGGAACACCACCTGCCTGTCCAGAAAGAATGACACAAACAAACAAATTCCCAGATTCATCTCAACAGAGCCTTTTGTTTAACCTGAAATTAACTCTGGCATCCAAACACCTCAAACACGCTGCTCCCTGCTGTTCTGCTGAAAGGGAAGGCAGGGACCTTGAGCTTTCTACAGGCATTCATAATGTTTCATGTCTGTCACTCTTTGTTCTCTCTTTCGCTCCACAGGGTCTGCGTTTCACCTGTGCTCGACAGCAAAGACATGCAACTCTGAATCTCAGATCGCTCCCTGAGCGCCTCTTAGCATTGTCTCCAGAATCTGCAAATGACAGATGCTACCTCCATCACAGAAAACCTGCTGCAGTCAGGGGAAACCAATCTCCCAAACCAAGGTGGCTGTTCAGAATTGCAGATTTGGCCCGGCAGATCTCTGCTCCCAGCCGAGGGTTAGATAGCCTCTCCTCTCTCCATCTCAGTCACTCCAAAGCCAAACATGTCTGGGGTATTTCATAAGCTCCCTGATCCTGCTGCTGTGGACTGTATCTCTGCCATCCCCTGACACAGAAAAGCATTCACGATTCCCCTATACCTGTACACACCTCATTGTGAACAGCACCCCCTCTTTCTTTTTCCCAGTAACCCCTTTGCTCGTCGGGGCTTATCTTCCAACTGGCAGACGCGGAAAATTGTACGGCGCATCATGCAATCACATTGCCCCAAAAGCAGGTCTCTCTTTCCAACTGCTTCCCTTCATCATGGTTACTGTCATCCTCACTCTGCTTCTCAGTTTGCGCTCAGCCCGCACACCTCTGTCACTCCGCATCCACACGTCTGGCCTTCGTAGGAATTGATGCACGCAGGTAGGCAGCGATGGTTGCAAATCAAACATATTTTCTCATATTTCTTCTCCTACACAAATAATCCTGTATCTAGATATTTACATTAGAATTAAATATAGAAAGCAGTGTAATATGTATTGTATGTGTCAAAGGGATTGTAACTATTGTCTTGTCTTGAGTGTTATTCTCTAACGCTAACCCAAACCTATAACACACAGTTGCCATTTTTTCGGTTGATTTTAGGGAAGTGGCTTTAGAGGAAGGCCTAAAGGGACTAGCTGACAGTTTTGGCAACTTTCTTGTTGGATTTAGCGACGTTTGGAACTAGTGCTGTTAGATGCTGTCATTTGAAAAAGGTTGGCAACATTGATCTGGGTTTTCTGGCTGGATAATTAAAAAAGTATAGCTGGCTGGCTTGCTTCTTCAACTCCTCAAGCTCAAAAACTAAAACAAGACTTGTTGATATGAGATGTCCACAGTTGCACAGTTCAAAGGCAGATTGAGCACATTTGCCTTTGGGTATATGTGAGTGTGAGGGATGCTGATGTATTGGAGACCTGTCTCCCCTTCTCAATCGCCCCCACTGCATTACGGGATAAGTTCCATCCCCCATAGCTCTCAACGGCCTGGATCAATGTAGCAAATGGATGTCCTCCAAATGTAAAAGCAACACACGTCATTGGTAATGGTCCTTTGCTCCCAATGGACAAGAGTGATAATTATGTCTGCTGGAGGTCTTTAACATCAACATGTGTCATTATCGGGCATTTGCTGAATACTGACTGATTTGCTGACGGATGCTGTTGTTTCGGCGGACCCCTACTATAGTCCAATAATAAATCCAGCAGCATCCTATACTTGCTGTAAGAATCACAGTACAGTTCAGCTCCTCGACAAACCTCCTGTCACAATGCATTAATGATGTGTAACAGAGCATAACTTTAAACAAATTCCTCCTTTTTAGAGTCATATAGGCTTTGGCAAAACATCTCGAGACAAGCATTCAAGCAGACGGATGTGATACAGTTGGCAGCTGCAGACATCCTGTAGGGGGAAATTTAATTTGTCTTATCAATGTTCTTTGGAGCTTTATGTGACTGTGGCTGTTTTATGAAGTGACAGTTAGGTTAACCAAACTCCATGTGCAAACCATTGTGTGCACACATGTCATCTGCTGAGCGTGATAAGGGCGCAGTTTATGACCATTGGCAGCGATTCTGCACTAATTATAGTCTTGTTTGGACAATGGGACAGTCACAGTGGGTCAGTTACATCCTTGTTTACCGATTTAACAAAGGGCATCGCCTCACTAGGATTACATTTAGAGCTTTGTTATCAGCAGTTTCACACCAAGCAGACACTGAATTATTCTACAAGCATCAACCTGGTTATTTAATATTCTCCCATTAGCTCACATCTTGTGTCTACTCCAGTTTACCAATAACTGCCTGTTTCCTGTAGAATATGGAAGCAGAAGCCCTCTGAGACTTCATTTTCTTTGACGTCACTAAAGAGCACTAAAAGCATGTAATTACAGCTGAATAGTGATTTAACCTATTCACCTGTGTTTTAACACTGTCAGTCACCTCTTCAGCTTAACACTTAAGTATAAGGATTTCAATCATGCTTATGTGAATGTGCATCTCAGCTGGCATTACCTGAAATTAAAATCATTTGCAAGGATTTGTGGGATTTAGCGGAGATGACATCAGTGTGAGATGTGTCAGGAGATCAAAAGAAATCCAGTCGCTAATACACCTTGATGCACATATTGATGCTAATCCTAATTAACATTAAGATCATTTTATTTCAGATTTTGACCTAGTTGTCATAGGTGAAAAACACAACATCCAAAAACAGCACAACATATACAAGCTTGTCACAGGGACGATTAGCAGTTCAGCTGAATAAACAAGGACACCCTAGTGGTAAACATCCCTTCAGCTATAATTAATTAAACAACCAAATAATCCAATGTTCCCTGTAACTGTTTACAGGGATTTGACGGTGCAAGAAAGTATTGGAGTGATACATCGCATAAATCATTAGTTGTTTCTATATAGGTATTTTCTTTTTATCCAAACTGACCTTATGAGATCTCTCAATACAAAATAAACAACATTTACAGCTTTCAAACTAGTCGAAAAAGATGACTGTGTTGCATCAAGGGTTTGATGACTGTGTATTTGAACAAGTTAGCTTACTGTACATTACAAGTCTTGGCTTTGACATGGGTGGTACCTTTATTGCTTCAATACATTTCATTGTGCCAATGTGTTTAGAATAAAAGATCCTCATCCTCAGAGTCAGTTGATGCATTATACAGTTATTTGAGGGAATCAAGTTGCCATCCTGATTTTTAGCAGTTTGCTTCTGAAACCAAACACTAAAATATCATATATTTTGTTACAGTGCAGAAAACCTTTTCTCAGGACATGGTGATTCATCAACAGGACTTCAGTGCAACCCCCCTGATGCTGACAACATTTTCCAGGGAGGGTAACATTTTATCAAGTGATGATTTATTCTTCTCAGTTTACCTTGCAGCTTAGTCTTGGGGATTTTCCCACAGGGCTTGGTGGCTGTGACAGTGGCGGCGCAGGTTGCATCGAGGAGCGCTCGCTTCAGCACGCCTGCTCTGTTCTTCTTTCCCGTCGCCAGATCGCACTCCCCCCAAGCCTGGAAGTCATACTTGCACTCCCCTGTGGAACACAAAGAAATCACGTAATTTATTAGATGCTTTTGTATAGTGAAGTACCTCTGATAGTAAGAAAACCTGGTAAAAAAAATGACCCAAAGTAACATGTACATTTTTTTTAAAGGTCCCCTATTATACTGTTTTTCATCAATATATTATAGGTCTCAGATATATGCAAAACATGTCTCTGAAGTGTTTGGCTCGAAATACCAAACAGATCGTGCATTGTAGCATCCCATAAACCCCTCTGTTTCAGCCCTGTTTCAAAAGTGCTGATTCTCCGTCTTTTACTTTAGATGAAAATAAGGAGCCACTCCCCAGGTCCCTCTGCGAGATATTTGGTTAAAAAGAACACAATAGGCGCTTTCACACCAAGTACTTTGCCGTACTTAGTTAATCAGAACTTAGTTCATCAGAACTCTTTAGTTGGTTACCTTGGTTGGTCATTATCAATCAGTCAATGAATTAACCCCTTGAGGCTGAGGACTTGTGAGTCATACACTTGAATGGTTATTTGATGAATGCTTCTAATTTACCAAGCTATTATCTCCTTCCTATGTATAAATCCTCAAAGCCGCGTCACAAATTATTTCATTAAAAACCAAATATAAGATGCTTATAGCTTTTTTTTTCTAACAGCTACAGAGGGTGCTTCACAGTTTTTTATCTTATATTTCCAATATAATGAAACCTTCTAACAGATAAATGTAATCAAAAGCAGCCTGGCTCCTGTTCATTCTGGAAATAATGGACGGATACAATCTTGGCAGCAGAGAAATGAAAGTACCCTCAGCAGCACCTCAAATATATTTCACATAGACTATGTGCTTTCATTTGATAGAAAATGTACCCACCTTAAACTCAACCCCAGTGGATGCCAGAAAAAGCAGCAGTGGCTAGTGTATGTTATAGAAATGTGTTTGAAGAAGTGTGTGTGTGTGTGTGCATTTGTTTGTTTGTGTGTGTTTGTGTGTGTTTGTGTGTGTTTGTGTCTGCCCATGTCTCTCATATCTCCCTCCATTATTTTGTTGCCACTCTAGCCGGGCTCCCTGGAGGCTGTGACACACATTCGTCAGCTTTCTTTCACATGAAAAAGCCGAACCCCTTGTCACTGCCTCCAAAATCCCAGGGTGCTCATCAGAGGAGGGAAAAGGGGTGAGATGGGGTGAGGAGAGAAGGGACGCAGAGTGGCGAGAGGGAGTGACAGGGCCATTGTTGCAAGAATCCTACAGGGACTTCGTAAGCATCCAACTTTAAAACCGTACACCTCCATAATTTGTCTCTGAGCGAGAGGAAGAGAGATTATTCGAACTGCCTCCTGGGAATTTCACAGGCAGCCCATGTCCTCTTTAAGCTGTCATATACAAGCAGGCAATACAATGGTTGTACAAGTGTAAACACACCCCCTCATCAGCAACCCTACAGTCCTTCAAAGATTACAGGCTGTTTGCACAAGATCCTATTTACATGCCTTTGAAATTGGTGTCAGAGTTCTACGTTCTTAAGGTCACCACGACAAAGAAGTCTAAAGGCCTTGACACACCAAGCCGATTTTGGCCGTCGATAGATGTCTGGCCGTCGATGAGCGTCCTGTCGCCCTACTCAGATTGGTGTGTCCTGCACCATTGTGTCTTTTCGGCCGTGCCGACACCTTCCGCTGCCGATTGACCATGTTGAATCTGCAGCGGAGGCTGTCGGAAAAAGAAATCACTCTGATTGGCTGTTCAGCTTAGCGAATCAGTGCATGAGAAGCGAAACGGAAGTGAGGTACGCAAACAAACGATTAGGCACACACAGACAGCTATTATTTTTCATTTTCATCTCACCTGGACGCAATAATTTATTTTACATCATGGCGATCTGGAATGAAGAAACCGAAGACCAACTCAGTTGCCACGTAATTTGCTGCCACACTTCCTGCATGAGGTGGACAATAGCTTCTTCAAGTATTTAACGGACAGGACCCTGGAAAATGAAACCTCTAACAGACAGTTCACAAATTTGTAACGATGTGGTTAATTATTTTTTTATTGTATTACTTACTATTTTTATCTTATTGTATTTTAGTCGATTGTTTACATTGTACAGTTCTACATTTGATAATAAACCACTTTTTACCGCTACTGCAAAATACAAAACATTATTTCGTACCTTCATACTACAGCCATTAGATAACACAACCTTAGAATGAGGATAACATTAGCTATAGCCTACTACAATAAAAGTCAGAAGATACAGATGTACATAATGATACATAATTTGCCTGTCAGTGTTATGATGTTGTATATTAATATAATCTTGGATTATAATCACTGATGCATGGAATGTGGTAGCAGCAGTACTTTAAGGTTGCCTGCCACAGCCGCGTTCACACCGGAGTACTTTTCACCGTACTTTTCGCGTTTAGTTCCGTTAGTACCCCTTATGTCGCGTTCACACCAAAAATCGTACTTAATCTCGGGAACTTTTACCCCCATTTTTAGTGCCCGCTGAGAGATCGTACTTTCCTGTGGGTAAAAAGTGCCCCAGTGCTGATTGGCTGGGCGAATTGCAAACCACGCCCCGTACAACTGTGAAAATGTTGTGTAGAGCCGCCATTGTTTTTCCTCGCTACAAAAACCCAGCGCACCGACGGAGAGTAGTTTGTTTTTGAAAGCAGTTATGGCAAGCATCAAGAAATGATGAGGAGGTGTCGGCGCTTCTGGAGATCTACGCCGAGGACGCGACCCAGGGAATGCTACTGAAGCCAGTTCAGTAGCTTTCACTCGACCTGGGAATCGTGCACAGCCCCACGGCACACCGGCTAAAAATAAAGAAACTCAGGCAGGACTACAAACGGCGGATTCAGTGGCCAACGATGAGGACCACGACGAAGGTAAAATCAACTACATGCACTGGGGTTTTAATCTGCACAATAATGGTCTCAGATGTACTTTTATTTGCTCAGTAGATCAAGCTAGCCATGCTAGGCTGAATAGGCTAACACCGGCCCCGAGCTAGCTACATCTAGCTAGCTAGATATTCTCGGCCGCTATGAAAACGTTTTGACTTGTGAATAACTGTGCAGTGTTTCTGTAATTTGCTTCACTAACTCATGGCACTAATCGTCTGTTTCAGGCGAGGATGGACAACTCTCGGGATTGGAAACAAGCGAGCTTTGCATTCTAGATCACAGCGCTTGGTCGTCCCCCTTACCAGCAACCAAACGCAAAGGTACACACACTGTAACTTTGTCTTGAAAGAACGTTACGCATCGAACTGATGTTCACAATCATGTTTATTTCCTTCTTGGTACAATTATGAAACAGCGTGAAAACGTATTCGCCTAGACCGGCATTTACAAATGTTCACGCCTTTTTACTCTCTCACAAACATTGTAAACATCCGGGCTAGAGGTCACATGACTTCCGGTAAGAAAACTTGCCTCAACAACATTAAACAAAGTTCAAGCATACATGAAGCACTCTTCAAAAAGGAACAATCCTCCGTGTTTGAACCTCTTAAATCGCTGCATAGCCGATTTATTTGGACTGGATTATCCCAGAGAGTCTAAACATTCTTTATAACACAGTTTCAGATTTGTGAAACCTTTAATTCTATTTGTGAAAACACAAAAAAGAGAGATTTCAGTGCTTTTTCGCATCCTGGCCACATTAGACCAGGTCCTGATCTAAAACCACTATACCTAGACTCATCAAATCTGGACTGGGTTATCCCAGAGGGTCTAAACATTCTTTATAACACAGTTTCAGATTTGTGAAACCTTAATTCTATTTGTGAAAATACAAAGAAGGGAGATTTCAGTGCTTTTTTTACATGTAGACCACATTAGACCAGGTCCTGATCTAAAACCACTATACCTAGACTCATCAAATCTGGACTGGATTATCCCAGAGGGTCTAAACATTCTTTATAACACAGTTTCAGATTTGTGAAACCTTAATTCTATTTGTGAAAATACAAAAAAGGGAGATTTCAGTGCTTTTTTTTACATGTAGACCACATTAGACCAGGTCCTGATCTAAAACCACTATACCTAGACTCATCAAATCTGGACTGGATTATCCCAGAGGGTCTAAACATTCTTTATAACACAGTTTCAGATTTGTGAAACCTTAATTCTCTTTGTGAAAATACAAAAAAGGGAGATTTCAGTGCTTTTTTTACATGTAGACCACATTAGACCAGGTCCTGATCTAAAACCACTATACCTAGACTCATCAAATCTGGACTGGATTATCCCAGAGGGTCTAAACATTCTTTATAACACAGTTTCAGATTTGTGAAACCTTAATTCTATTTGTGAAAATACAAAAAACACATTCCTAGTATGTTGTAAAACTACATGGCGACAAAACAGATCTTGTATCTTGCTTATTTTCCCCTCTTAGGAAAGCGGACCCGGATGCAAATTTCTTTGACACCGCCCAGGCGTTGGAGGACCGGCGTGCCGTGGTGAAAGAGTCGATGCACGGAGATCAGATGGTGCTGTTCACCAAGGCCCAGGAAACGGAGGACAAGATGCTCACCAGTTCATTTTATATTATTGTTATTACTGTTATTATATAGTCTTGATACAACTGACACTTTATTTGATATTGATAATGTTAATTTACATGTACAACTTCTATTTTATTTACATAAAAATGTGAACTTCTATTTACTGTTAAACAGATCCTGTATCTTGCTTATTTCTCCTGACACTTTATCTTTAGTGACCTGTGTAGCATCCTATACATCACATGTAAGTGATTATTCTGATACCATCATGTTTCATCGGTTATAAACTGGCAAAGCTTTATTTGTCATTTATTTATCATCAATGTTGCAACCTTGTGGAGGAATGGCAGGGGCACATACACAAATATGATAATTTATATAATTTTAAATATTATTTGACCTAAAACTAAATGTTTTTATGATTGTCCTCTGAGGAGAACATGGGGATTTGCTAACTTTTAATTCCCCCCCCCCCATTTTACACAACACAAAATGGAGTCCACTATGGGCCGAAACTAACATGTAGGTTTCCATAGTGTTTATGGCAGACGGATGCAGTGGGTCTCAGGAAGATATATAATAAATAATAAAGGTGGGTTTGCTGCTGAGCCTATTTACTGTGCATACAACACACCTGGCACAGTTTATTGTTATTATATTGCCACACTGTACACTATTGTAATGTTGCCTGTCTTGACTGGAAAATAAAAGACAGAAACAAAAGCACTGTACAAAAGATCAGCTTTATTGTCAAAATGTTTACAATGTACAATTTACACGCTGTTCAGATGCCTCATAAAGCTGGGTCGCCGGTAAGGCAGTCCATTCGTCCCTGTACTCATCATCATTACTTTCACAAAGGTTATGTAATATGCAACATGCTGCCACCTGGATTTTGATCTTGTCCATCTTGCAGTCGTTTCTTTTCATCAAGCACCGCCACCTGCCCTTCAGTCTGCCAAAAGCGTTCTCCACCACCACTCGTGCTCGGCTTGTTTTGTTATTGTACGCAAGTTGCTCAGGCTGCATTAACTCAGTTACAAAGCTGTATAACATGAGCACAAACAGCACAACTTCAGTCGACTCCATCTCCATCATGTCTGAGGTCGGAAGGTAAACAACAGACGCCTAATGTAGAGCGAGTGGGTGGGCGTCGCAGTATACGCGGGAAGTTTTTCTTCTTCTTCTCTTGTTTTGCAGCGGATTGCAAACAACTTTAAGGTGCATACCGCCACCTACTGTACTCGCCGTGAAGTGGTTTGTGGCCTGCCAGTAAAGCCAAAGCAGAAGAAGAAGAAGTGACGTCAGCGGCTCATTTGCGTAATCTTCCCTCAGGGAAAAGTACTCCGGTGTGAACGCGATCTGTACTAAGTGCCCTGGGGTAAAAAGCACCGGGGCTCTGAGTGCCGGAACTAAGTACAGAAAAGTACTTGGTGTGAACGCGGCTATTGCTTAAATAGTTTATTTCTGCTGAGCTGAAGTTTGTATCACGCAGTCTGTCTTCCGGTTGCCTCTTTTGAATGACGAATACACACTACCGCCGCCTGCTGGTAAGGAGAGTTATTGCCACTCACGCATGCGCAGTGCGTCCGTGCTAATTGGCCGTCAGCTGAAGTCTTTGCGGTGTGTTCCAGTGCGACTTTTTGGCCAAGACGCAGGAGACGTGAGGCGACACAACAGTCGGGTCCGTCGGGACGTGTTCTGTGGTGTCAGTTTGGTGTGTCAGGGCCTTAAGCTGAGAATTTTCACAGTTTGGAATTGGTTTGAAATAATTTAGCTATACTTTTTTAGGAACCAAATCAGTATTGGGCTTTGTATTCTTTTCACTGTTCAAAAATATTTGTTTACCTATGTCAACAACCTCTCTTTTAACTATCCCTGAATTGTTGTGTTGTCCTCATGAGTTCCAATAAAACAAAACTCCAAGACAAAACTACATTATTCTTAGTTTACACTTTTTTAAAAAGGTTCTTGAAAAACAGACCATTTTACTGAGCAATACATCTGAATCCAGGGTTAAATTGCATGATCTTTCAACACCAATTTTGACACATTTTATGGGGCATAGGCCTATAGGAAACACATTTTGCAGTATTTAGTTGTCTCTTTTATTGTAAACATATCCTTAATGAAACAGACACTGGCTTTGTGTTAGCCTCTACAACCCAAGAGGAGCCTCTTCTATTATTTTCTTTCCACAACCAGGGGCATGTAAGTCATTGTTCCGAAACTTTTGCTGCTATAATCTATATAGCCAGTTAGCAGGGCCATTATTTCCTGCAGTGTGTTCATCACTTGTGACAGGCTCATTGCAGAGCAGCAGGACCCTGCCTGACATGCCTTACTGGGGGAACAAAAGTCCCTCAGGCTTGTCACTGCAAGACATTTTAGTTGCGAGGGCTGCACAGTCTCAAGCCTGAAAAGCGAATGACAAAGCAGGATGATTATATTTTTCCATGATGATGTATCACTTCCTCGGCAGACATTTCTGTTGTACCTCTAATTAGCTAGCTTACTCATCCTTTTGTGAAGATGGGACCATTGTTTGTGTGAGTGACAGGCAGGCCTACATTAAAAGGAGGTGTTGGGTAAGCGGGGGATGGGAGCCATGCAGTTATACAATAAGAAGGTCGTAGATTATTGAAAGGAGAGCTTTTGATTGGTTTGGATATATCTGGGTCTTAACTCACCTCCAAACTTCTTCTTCCAGTTGCAGGGGATCTTGCAGCGTTGGGTCTTGATGGTCTGCTTGCAGTCGGTGCCGGTGCGTGTTCCCTCCCTGGTGCCGAGTCCACAGTCTCCTTCGTTGGCTACACACACGCTCCACTGCCAATCGCCACAATCTGACTTGCGTTCTTTCTTTCCTGTAAGACCAAACATACACCAGTTATGTAACCTTTTAACAAGACAAGACACATAAGTCTCACATCTACAGCTCTGCATATACCAGCAACTTTAGATCCTTTGTTTTTTATTAAAACAAGAAAATTGCAACTTGCGGTGTCTATAAAAGTATTTGTCACCTTCTTGGACTTTTTATATTATTACAAGGAAGATGTAATGAGTTTATTGCTTCTTCTTATTACCAATAAAAAAGATATATCTTATATTTGCTTAATGTTGTTTTCTTTACCCAAGTGGGAATTATCTGACTTATGTTGCCTTTCCTGAAAGATATTGCTATTTGTTTATTGTACATTCTCAAAGGACACCAATTACTTCAACTCAAAGGCTTTTATTCATTATATCTTTAAGACTTGTATCCAACGAAAGTATTTCACAGTGCAGGCTTTTCGGCAGTGATATATAGTGAAATATATGTCATTCAATAAGGAAAAAACATTGATGAGGTTGATTAGCTGAAATTGCTTCTCCATCATAAACAAGTTGTAGATTTGATGTTATACTGAACATCATGGTGCTCCTGTTTGATATACATTTTCAGTTTAAAGGAACACACAGATATAGATTATTTCTATAGATTTTTCTACAGTTGAAGAATCTGAGCTTTGCAAAATTCACCTTGTTTCTCTGCTTTGCCTCCTTCTCCTGCCATCACTGTGATCACCAGGAGTGCCATCACGGCCACCCGTGTCCACTGCTTCTGTCCATTCATTCTGAAAAAACAAGGCAATTGTTAATAGAGAACGCTGCTTTACTTTCACATATTCACACATCTTCTATAATTGAAAACACACATTTGAGATCTTCTTGTGCCTAAACTTGACACGTTAATCTTTTTGCTAGACCAGGAGGAAGAGGAGGAAAGAGGAATTTCCATCTTTCATCTGGTGTCATTTTCCCCGTGCTGGATTCCAATATCAACATTGTGATAGTCTGAGCTGCCACTACACTGTCAGTCACGGCAGTATTTGCTGTCAATCTCTGTATTTGTCAAAGCTCAACAAAAGATATTCTGTGATTGAAGCCGAGTAAACCCCTTGCTCACAAAATAAGATTGAGGCTACAATGTTGCAACATGTCATAAAAAGAAATCTTTGCTTTGATTATACAGAAGTAAAAGCAAACATTCTTTACTTATATTTTATTTTAAAACTATATTCTGAATGTTGATTGGAAATGTTTTAAGGAATGTTAAGTATTGATGCTTATATTGGCATTGAAGGTGTGCTGAGGCATTTTGACCACTATTAGTGCTGTGGAGCAATGTGGGTCCCCATTTTGTTTGTTTAAATAATGGGTCCCCACTTTGCACATAAACTAGAATGCAAGTGTACATACTGTATACTAGGAGGACACGATTCGAATACCTGTCAATGGTTTCACATTATGCAAACGATCAATATGTGACAATTATGACTCAAGGAACGCAACAATGTGGCCAATGAAGAAGAACACTGCTAGCCATTAAACAGCTGATGTAATGTAACTTATGTCAATATCAGTTTTACATCACTACAGCCATGGTTGACAGGGGACTCAGTTTAGAATGCCACAGCAATCCCTGGCCTCATCTTACCTTTGATCAAAAAATGTGAGTTCCACACTGAATTATACAGATTTTTCTTTTTGAAATAGAGGGTTTTGGTATCAGATTTGCACCTGAACTGAGGTGTCAGACTGTGTTTGGGAGGAAATGTTGCATCGTGCCATCAATCATTTTACAAATGTTCAAAGAGTGATACAGTATGAAAGTGTTCTTTAAAAAACGTGATGCTATATATAAAACTGATGTTGAATCCAAAAAAAACGTTGTAGATGGATAATATGTTTGAATCAGTATTCAGAAAGCTGACAAAAGATTCCTTGGCAGGTAGTTTGAGAGACGTGTTAAGTTGACAGAGGCTTACTGAATTCCATAATGGTTGTTCAAGAAAAGATTACACCTGCCGCCAGAAAGCGACAAAAGAGCAAGAAGACTGGGATCAAATTGCCATTGTGGAACGAGTTGTCACAGAAAAGAATGTCATTAGTGTCTTTGTTTGCTCGTAGCTGCTGACATCTTTTTTTAACAGGTTTTAAAAAATCAATCATCCTCCATACAATTAGAATCACAATTTATTTTAATACTTGATCCACCAGCTGCTTCCTGATTTCCAGAAAGCACTAACTGTCACTATCACCAGCCTTATTCACTGTGATTGAATTGTTACAGAAAACCAATCCTCTTTGACTTCCCTTTTTGCGAGACAGAGAGAAATACTCTTGCAGCCAGCACTTTCTGAGAGGAGCGAAAGCATGAGACTGAACCAATTACCAAGTGTTGACACCAAAATAATGCTCCTCTGTGCTCAAATTCCTGTAGAAATGTTGATCCTTGTGGAGAAATAGCATCCATTTGTCATTTTTAATTAAACATGAGTTGTCTCTGAGTCCCCCCATCTCATTGTGTAAGTAACCTGCAATTCCAACTTTTCATTTTACTTACTTATGACTTTACATAAGTTCAGTCTCAGTATCTTTTAAGCCTCTAGAATTGAAATCAGGTATTCAAACCTTGTATTTAATTTTGGGCTGTTATTGTGGTGATTCCACCAAGGATTTAATGTCTCCCAGCACTTCTTAGAAACTCATAATGGGCCTTATGGCAGCGTCTGTAGTCTACCTGCTATGAATAGTCATCTGAATCTTTCACATGATTGATTTTATATTTCTCTGACTATGGCAGCGTGCAGGCAAACCCTGTTTTGATTAAATACTTCAGACTCCATCTCAGAGTTTTTTTTAATGTTTACTCTTTTTAAGAGATTCAAAAGTATTCATCTTCATTCAACCCCAAAAAAGGAAGGAATAAATTATTGATTCCCAACTGTAAGAAGCGCATACAATGAGTTCTAAGAGTTTCAGAGAGAAAAAAAATGAAAGCTTCCTGATAAAGATCATTTTCCAAGAGAAAGGCATTGTTACTTTTCAAAAGATAAGAAAACCTATTCCTCACACACACAGTGATGGGCTCCTGGTGCAGTGCAGGCATACAAATGGACGTGGTTGAAGACTTTGAATGAGGACTCCATATAATTGCTTAGCGAAAGAAACGTCTTGGAATTAAAGTGAATTACCTTTTTCTCTGCAGTGAGGTTTCCCCTCATCTTGAGGTTAATAAATCAAATGAAAGTCTCTCACAACCTTGTAGCTCACATTTCCAGAGCATGACAGCAGGTTTAATGGATCGGAGCATTTGACTATCATTAGGCAAGGAATCTGTGATGCCTATGTAATGCTTTGATAATAAGGGATTGACAATTTAAAGGACATCTACTTGTGCTTTTCATTAAATGCTTTTCCTCTCTTTTTATTCAATACACAAACAGTCAGACATAACTTCAGCTCAACGCTTCGTGACAGAGAAAATATCTTTTTTTTGTTCTTCCAAGTCTTAGCCGATGGCAACCTGACCCTGACTCACTTATGGCGCATTTCCACTACAGCGTGGAGCGCGGTTTAAGCGTGCCGTGCCAAACCCGGCCCGTTTTTGGTTGCGTTTCCACTAGGGGTAGTAGGCTACCGGCTAACGGGTACTGTTTCACAGTTTTTCTGGCTCTCCAAAATACAGGGTCTTTCCGGGCCAACAACCGGGCTGAGTATGCTAAACTAGTGAGAGAATCGCTGGCAAGGGGGCTACAACTACAACAAAATGAACATATTTTACCGTGATTTAATTGTAATACACGTTTCAAAATGATGCCGAAGTAACAACATACTGATACCGGTTAGTAAAAACCATTAATTAATGCTTTGACAAGTCTGCAGACAAGACAGCAGGCGAAAACCTTTTAAAATGCGTGTTTTCTGAATGGGAATCGGCTAAGCTAACGCAGTATATGCTCCGACCGTCCACACTCACAACAACGGCATACAGACATAAATAAAGCAGCGACTGTATTCGCCATGACACAGACAGTCTGTGGTTTGTACTTGTTTAACTTTTGTCTAGTTTCTGAACAGATATGAGGAGCTGTGAGCTCTGAGTGCTAACAGCTAACGGCTGATGTTGGTTTTCTGTGGTTCGCATTGAAGATGACGTCACGGCTCCGCCTACACTGCGTTACTATAGTTACTGCCCCAGCTACTAAACTGTAATGGAAACGCAGCATAAAGTGAGCCTGGCTTACCAAGGCCTAACTATACCGTACTAAGCCGTGCGAGGCCCTGCAGTGGAAATGCGCCATTATTGTCATGACTCATACTCCATAATTTGACTAAAGTCATTGGTGTTTTATCAGCTCAATTAATCCCAGGCCACATCATCCTACAGGTAGTAGCTCGTTTGAGATGAGCGAGACCGCCGCAGACCTGCGCAATTGCGACCGCCGTCTTGCATGATGGTTAGTAATTTTGTCCGACTTGCTCTGGAGGCTCGACTGCATGAGACGTTGAAATCTCACGGGACCAAGAAGCCAGCAGCCTTTCATTTTTCCTCATTGTTCCACAATGTTTATCATCATGAAATGAATATCTATATATTTTATACTATACTTGCACTGCTTACCGTTTTCATACTTTATATATCCTAGCATATTCATACACACTGTTAATACTGTTCATACTGCTCACAGGCTACTGTGTATATCTAGTGTATTCATACCCCTCACTGTTTATTCATCATTCAATTCATTCTATATTTTATTCTGTAGATTGTGTACATTACTTTTCACTTTACTGCTTTTTGCACTCCTGGTTAGAAGCTAAACTGCATTTCGTTGTCTCAGTAGCCTACCTGTAATCTGTGCAATAACAATAAAGTTGAATCTAATCTTGAGCAGGAACAAATGTATTTACTTAGTACATATCTGACATTAACGATTAAACACATTTGTGCATTCTTTATAAATGCAAACCGAGTCAAGCCGACTTCATGCAAGCTTTTTGAGACCTCCCCCGGCTGCAATCGGCTATTCACGTCTACTTTCGAGGCGAGCTGCAGCTCATCTCAAACAGGCCTAGTGTTTCGTCCAGCATGGAAATATGACTTAGTTTTGTAATATTCTTTGACATATTTCAACGTTATTTTAAAAGTGATGCCCAAGTAGTTTGACACAAGAAAAAAAGGAATCATCAATCATCCCTCAACCTGTCCCCAGATTCAAAGCTAGATACCCGATGCAGGATATTGCCAAACCCGAAGGTTTTACAGAAATGACACTCTCAAATAAAACGGAATTGAATACCTTAGACATGAAGTACGTTTTAAAAGATGTTTTATAACAACACAGTATTTAGGAAGAGAGAAGGAATACAGTCCCCGATTCAGGGAACACATTCCAATTATTTCTTATATATTTTGAGTCTATATAACCAAAAATGAGCACTTCTAGGAACTGCTTGCAATTCAGGTCAGAAATATAGTAAGACATACATTTCCACGATGAGAATGGGCGAACTGAATGTTTGAAGTGGAACATCATAAACATGCAGTGATCAGTGTGTGGCTCATGAACCAGTGAAAATTAGTCCTATAAAACCCTCCATTTGCCTCATTGATCCAGGCACAGTTGTGCGTTCCTGGTGAGGGGCACTGCAGGAGAAAAGCCAATACTTCGCACAAATCAATGCATGGTCAGTGACTCCTTGTGTGCTCCAGCAAATACACACAAGACATCCTTTATTCCGGAGCACAGACCAGATACAAAACGCTCCCCATCTCTCCTCTCTCTCA